GCAGCCCGCTGTGGAAGATGGGCCGCTCCGGCCCGCCCGGTCCGTGTCCGCCACGCTCCGGAACGTGAGTCGGGAAGGCACGGAAACGAGCCAACCCTTCTCCTCTCCTCTCCGCTCTCTCTCTGCGTCTCCGGCGGCCGAGCGCGGCGCCAGGTCGGCGGCGGAGCCGGGCTTGTCGCTCTCCTGCCCGCCGCTCCCTCCCCGGCCCCGCCGAGCTCCCCGCGGGGCCGCCGGAGCAGCGTGGGGGGCGGCCGGGGTCCTCTCTCTCTCCTCCTTTGCGCTGTCGGGTGGTTTCAGCCAGAAAAGCGCAGGCCGCGTGTCAGGTGTAGAAAAAAAAATATAATAAAAAAATAATATTAATAACCCATGAAATACATATTGCGATTTCCGGCCCGGTGTCTGGCCACCGGGGCTTCGGTTCCGCGGGGTTCAGCCTTGCTGGGGCAGGGCAGAGGGCTGGGGGGGAGCGGGCCCGGGGCTGCGGGGCAGAGCCAACCTCCGGTACCGTCCCTGGGTGGCAGAGACTCGGGCTTACGGCTACCATTTCCCGGGACCGAGGAATCGGGTGTTCATCGTCCACATCACCTCGTTTCTTACTGTCAGCGTGGCAAAAAAAAAAAAAAAAAAAAGAAACAAAGCGAAATAGATCTCGCAGCTCTCTTCCTCGGGAGGGAGAAGGGGAAATATAGCGGATGGAGAGCGTTCTGATACATTCAAACCGAAGCTGTAGGCAAAGGCAACGTATAGCGCCGCGCTAAGCTACCTAAAGTTTATGTTTGTGCTGTAGGAAAAAATCGTTCCCTAGAAATAATGCGTGGAGCTCAACCCCAGCTAAGATAATTTATCCCGGGGAAATCCAGGTTAGATGTGCGATTTATATATGTGTTTGTGTGTGTGAGAGAGAGGGTGAGCGAGTGTGAGAAAGAGAGAGTAAATAACGCGAACAATTACAATGGACCGGTAATAAACAATTGCAATTGGGAATGGCATGAACTCTGTGCATTGGATTAACCTCGAATGACCTTACCACAATTGTATTTATTTATCCAATTTCATAACAGGTTGCTGCTGACAAAAAAAAAAAAAAAAAAAAAGGTAAAAAATAAGGGGGGGTGATTATTGGCTTTTATCTCTGTCTTACTTTTTTTTTTTTTTTACAACCACCCTTTTTTAAAATTTGTAAAAAAAAAAAAAAAAAAAGTAAGAAAGAGATAAAAGCCAATGATCAACCACCCTTATTTTTTACCTTTTTTTTTTTTTTTTTTAAAAACGGGTTTTAAAAAAAAAAATAATGCCATTTTTTATTTTTTTTTTTC